AAGCAAGCCGCCGCCGTGCGCCTCCTCCACCTCCACCTCTGCCTCCACCTCGCGCCCCAGTCCCCGACCACACCGGGCGAGTGCGGCGACGGACGTCGCGGGTGCCACTTAGGCGGCGGTCTGGGCGACGAGGCGTGGGAGTGGAAGGAGTGGGCTCGGGCCTACTTTGCGGCAGGGAGGGAGGGCGACCGGGTGCGGCTGCGCGATGGCGAGGAGCTGGCGAGCCACCGGTGGCGGTTTGCGTTCCGGCCCGGCTGCATGGCCACTGATGCGGAGCAGCGGCTGGCGCACCAGTTCTTGCCCCACTTCCACGCAGACGGGCGCTTCGAACACGAGCGAGTCTTCAGGGAGCCCCTCGCCTGGCGCTTCATCGACATGCCGGACTGCGGTACACACATACGCCGGGCCGAGTCGCTGGCACCAGCTACACTGCTGCTCGCGTGAGAGTGGTGGCCATCATATGCAAGGTTGCCCAGGTGAGTGCAAACATTCATTCACGACACACAGACGACGGCGTGGAGGGGAGGAGGCTGGTGCAGGTACACAGCTTCCCAGCTCTCCGTGTGAGGCGCACCGAGGATTGGGGCTGGGTGCTCGGTACGTGACTCTCGCTCTCGCTCTTTTCTCGTGAGGAGGGTGTTTGATTGTGTGCGCCGTGCTCGTGACAGAGAACGACTTTGTGCTGTTTGAGTCGCAAGATGCAGCGCTGGAGCGGAGGAGACAGAAGCGAGAGCTGCGAGTCAAGCAGCGCATTGCCGCGCTGTCCCAGGATGAGCTCGAAGAGCTGTCGATTCTGCCCCAGCAGGACCAGTTGTGCGCCAAGCTCCTCGAATGGCGGATATACGTCGGCGCGGATCACCTCGGACGGTGGACCAGCGCAGACGTCATTGCCGCGCTGGTTGCCCGCCTTGAGGAGGTGCGCGCCGCCAGAAGCTTTGCGAAGGAAGGTGCGACCAGGAGGGCTACGCCACGTGAATGAGTGAGTGACAAAAAATATTGTATTTAGTGTTACAGGTGTCCTTATTTTCTGTACAGTACTGTCGTGGTGAGCCGTTACGTCAGTGGTTGCGTTTCTTGTGCTTGCCTCCATTGCGGTCGACTTTGTCGGTCCGCCGGACCGGCGAGAGGGAGCGCGACCGCACTCCGGCCGAGCCTGCGGGAAGCTGCTGCGACGACGACGATGACGCGGACGAAGTGGACGGGTGGATGCGATCCTTGCCCCAATCGATGCGGTCGTCGGAGCGCGTCCGCGTCGGTTTGTTCTTCTTCGCGCTCCTGCTGCTGCTGCTCGCCTTGGCCGCTTTGTCGTCTTCCGCGCGTTGGACGGGCAGCGCGGGCGATGAAGATGATGAGGCCGCTGTGGTGAGGTTGGGGCTGCTGGCAGCGCTGTGGAGGGGTCGAGGCGTGGTGCGAGGCGAGAGGCGGGCCAGGAAGTTGCCCCAGGTGTCGCCCGCGCGACGCGCCATGGTCCGCCCTCGCCGCTCCACCCGCTCATTGGACGAGGCTAGGTCCGACGACGACGATGACGACGATGACGAAGACGACGATGAATCGGAGTTACGCAGGCCGCCTCCGCGCTGCACGGCATCCCTCGGTGAGGCCACGGGGGAGGTCCGCGCCGAAGAGGAGGACTTCGCAGCCCGCGCAACGGCGGGCGAGCGGGCCAGCGGACT